TATAAACATCAATAATTTCTCTGCAGCAATAAGTATAAAAAGAAGCAAGGTTTAGATTAGGCTTCTTTTGAACAACTATTTCTTACTTATTCATTCGTATCTTCTGCTTAGAAGCAGGTTCAGATCTCGTTTCTATGGTCTTCCACAATTAGATACTGAGAGATATCTGTATATTAGCGGTGAAACAAGGACTTTATTAGAATCTCTTTAGTTTGACCAAAAAACTGTGCATTTCTTCATAAGATACAGAGATCTTCAAAAAAAGGGGATGTGATGAAGTCTTGAAAACATTCACGTCAAAAAAACAATTTGTCTTTTTTCTTTAACGAGAAGAATGAGGAATTTTCCACTCCTCTTTCCCCCTCCTTCCCTCCCTCTGAGGGAGCGCCAATTTTTTGACTTTTAGCTCTTAAAAAGACATCGATTTGCTAGTAAAACTCTTATGATTGGTGTTAATCCCTAAACGAACATTCATATTTGACGTCGTAAAGCTCAAGATTTGAAATGGAGATATTAGTCGAATACCAACATGGCGGCTTCATCAATCATATTTTGAGACAGCGAGGTCACAAACCGACGAAGCCGCTCTATACAACTTCCACTAGCATCGGGAAGACGGCCAACTATCGAAAATGTATAGAGCAGGGAGGAAAATGAACTTGAAAACAGTATAACTCAATTAGATGAGATGTCTTGCAAGTAACTGTGAAAGAACTGATCGAACGAAATCGAAGAAAAAACGAAACAAGATTTCAGAGTCTCTACTTTGAGATTTTGAAAAAGTTGGATTTCGCAACATGAGTAGATCATATTTAGTACATATTACTATTGTTTTCCAGATGCCTGTTCATCTGTGCTCGACGCTTATAAATGTTCTAAATATTGACTCGTCATTATTTTTTCACCTTTAAGGAGCCAAATAATCAATAAAATTAGACTCACGAGGCGATTACTTTGATGTTCAGCTGCATGTTCGGCTTCTACTGCGTTTCGACCGCTCAGAAAAGCAGAACGAGTCAGACGATCGACTGATAAGTGAAGATAGAGACCAAGAAAATGACACCATACGTGAACGACAATGGTTGCGAGAAGCTGTAATGAATCTTACTCTTTTGATGAACCACAACGGGAAAGTAATTTTGTGTGAAATCCTGCCAGATTCATTTGGAAGGCAAGTCTCGATTGCACATATGATTACAGAGGCAGAATGGGTAAATGAGCAAAGTCAATACTCCTACATTGGGAACCTCTTCGAGTCGATGAGGGCTGGATGTTTCTTATAGTGAACATAGTGTTGCGAGTTCTTCGTATGGAATAACATGAAAGCAAAATAATCGATCGTTTACCTTACCGCGAACTTTGTTTTCCCAGCATTAACTTCTATACGAATGAATGTGGTGAAAAATACTGTTCACTGCAAAAACTTCTACACTCTCCAAGTTATTTCACAAAATACTCTCATTTTCAGACAATGCAAGTTTGTTATATAATGTATAATATTCATTTTAGTCCTCCTACATGTCCAGTAATAGCAAATTCA